GAAAAGTATGGTATAAACTCTTTCTCACGATATCTGTACCAGTAAAATGATGTCCTTGGAGAAAGTAAGTTCTTAGCCCAAAATCTGGACCCTAAAATCTCCGAAGAATCCTTTGGAAGGCCCAGATCTCTCACCAAATCATTAAGTTCACCTTTTGTGAAAAGTTGTGGTTCACCGACATTTCAGGTTGAAAACAATCCCCATCATCATTTCTATTGACATCAGATTCAGACTCAGATGAAACTATATCAAGAGTCTCAGGTGGAGTAGGTACAGGTACATCAGGTCCATGAGCAACAAGTCTTACAGCAGATTGAAGGTTCGGATAAGAAATTTCTTTTTATTTCGAGTGTTGTAGCCTTGCACGTTACATGAGCAAAAATAGCAGTCATCTACGTGGTTTCTAAGCTCACGCCAGACCACTGGAATTCCATAAGGCAAAGACTTTTTCTTACCCTTAGTCCATTGTCTCAACTCTTCGACACAAACGATGCATACTTTCTGCCTAGCCCATGATTTGTCTTGGTCCTCAAGTTTTATTACAAAATACTAGTAATACGCCTTTTTTTTACGAATTCTATTATGTTTTGCCTTTGTTTCTTTACAACAAATTTACCACAAAAATAACAGAATATGTTTGGGTCATTTCCACAATCTCTTGTTGCCATAGCAACGAGCCAGTTATATTGAAAAGAAAAAAATTATTTCAAAGTGCACGCACAAACAAATACTATACAGAAATGACACGTCATGCTGCCTGTTAACCGTTTATATGCTAGAAGTTTTTTTCACGTGGGTTATAGAACGATCGATAAGACTCTCACGTCGCAATTGGTCTAGAGGAGTCTATAGTCAGTGGTTATGAGCATTTTAAGCCTAACAAAATGTGGCCCGATTTCAATGAAAATGATTCACTTATATAAAAAATACATGTGACGTTTTGTGAAAAATCTGTACGTAATGGAGAAAAATGGATATCGTTTTCGGATCCAGCGTATAGGAATTGTGTAGAACATGTAAAAAAAGACCATCGCAGGCCTGTGTTACCACTAGTAAAATTACTAAGATATAAATTCTTTTTTTTTACTAGGATGCACCTGCAAGACTGTTACATTTTTGTGTAGTTCCCGAAAGGGGGCCAAAGGCCGTCTGGAGGGGTCACTATAAAGTAATGAGTTGTCAGTCAGTCGACACTAAGATGACGTCACATAAGAGATTATTAACGTTGCAATTTGTACTATCGTGACGTCAGTATAAAGTGTGCATGTCATGAATCACGAAAAGAATTATGCATTTTGTAGGCTAAGACACAGCATGACATATGAAAGAAAGAAATACAAAAAAATATGTATTACTCTTTATTTTGGTTTTATTTACTCTTGAAACGGAAGTATATTTAGTTTGCAATGCTCTACGTCTAAGGCTTAGGTACAAGAACAATGACAAGAAATTCCAGTCAGTCTATCAACAAGAAGCTCGCGACCTTCGTGATATATACACATACCCGAACTTCAAGATACTGCCGTTGTCTTCCAAGCAAGATGGTAAGAAAGGTAAGCTTAACAATTTAACAACAAAAATCAAGTAATTTTGCAATGCAAACTTACTATAAATAACTCTTCATAGTTCGGCTCTGAAATATATTGCTGTAAGATATGTTTTCAATGTTTCACTTTGGTTGCTTGCCAGAGGGAGGAGCTACTAACGTGATGATGATGACACTAGATTTAGAAATTTTATAAAAGTAGTCTTAGAATACTTAGATTGTTCGTGAATGTTAATGGTTGAGATACTTTACAAAATATCTAGAAACAAGGATACATTATAAGTACGAGAAGCAGTGTAGCATTGAGTCAATTTTCAGTTTATTTACTGAATTAGAAGTCAGTGAAGTATTAAAATCATTGTTAGTTATCGCGTTTATTTATTTACTCGATCGTTTAGCCGTGAAATTGTACAAGTTTATTTGTACACCCCCCAGTAGCACAGCGGTATGTCTGCGGACTTGCAACGCTAGAATCCGGGTTTCGATACCCGTGGTGGGCAGAGCACAGATAACCCATTGTATAGCTTTGTACTTAATTACAAACAAACAAACAATTATTTGTACGTTAGTCTTAGTATCATTAGCGATTAAATGTCTATTGAAAGTGAAAATATTATTTGTGAAGTTAGTCCTACAATTGTGTACGAGTGTCAGTAATATTAAGTATGAAATAAACTAATTTGCTTATGTGGACTAGACTTCGAAATATCTTCACAAAATAACCCGTCTAGCGAAAGAACATGTTATAATAATATCAAGTACACTCAATGTCAACGACTTAAAATCATTTATGTTGCGCTCGAGTGAGAAGATGTACCTTATACTTCAATACGTCACAACAACAACAAAATTAAAATATTGCAAAACGATACAAAAAAATAAAACATAATATTTGGAATGTCGTTATCTCTGTAAATTGTATAATATACAAAATAATTATAAACCAAATAACTCCACCTATGTAAAAAGAGTAATTTTTGATTTTCTGTGTATTTAGGTTCTTTGATGCTCATCCTGATTATATCAAGTTATTTAAACCGCTGGCCAATATTCCCAGGGATCAGCTGCGTAGCTCCAAGCGACTAGAGGCACACGCTCTATCTGTGATGTACGCTATAACCTCATTGGTGGACAGTCTGGATGACGTAGAATGTTTGAAGGAGCTGCTTTTGAAAACTGCGCATAATCATGCTCACCGTGGAGTACAGGGTGAACAATTTGACGTAAGATATTACTGCTGATTTTTAACTAAGTTATATTAACTAGCAGATATATCCGCCCGGGGGCTGTTGTAACTGCTAGTTCCTGCGGAAGGCTATTGGGCCTGAGGGCTTTCCTGGAATTGTCTGACAGTTCTACAACAATGTACTCATACTTGACATTCAATAATGTTCACCGTCCATGAGAAAA